ACCTTTATTTTGGACGGTGGCCCAGAAAAGACCAGAAGAAGGCGAGAAATTGGTGAGATTGTAAATGTCTTCCTTGATCAAAACATGTTATTTTAACGCGTTTGGTGCTGCTGACTGTTTTAATTTAATACGATCATGGGACCTGTACTTGTATTTAAGTAAAAAACACTCACGTGAAGGTAAGAGAAGTTTAATGTTAGCACAGCCGTGTTTCCATCGGCTGTTAGCTAAGGTGTTAGCAGCTCTCATAACCTGCAGGTGACTTTTAGTGTCCGGGGTACAACACACTTTTATATGTTTTAGATATCAGTCTCAGAATTATTAGTTTAAAGTGGCATTTCTGAAGGTGACTGTGCCACAATGATTTTTATGCGATCCGAATCTAAATTCGGCTTTAGTGTCATTTATATTTATGATTACGTTTCATGCGTTTCACTGACGCAATGCACTTTAACCCACTTCTTCTTTTTTATTTTATTTTATTGTGGACAGCGGTAGATGAACCCAAACTGCTGACACGTCCCGTGTAATGTTAGTTCAGCACGTACAACTTGAGGCGCATACTGATTACTATGTAGGTATATTTATGTACAGTGAAATCTTTCATCCGGTACTCCAATGTTCAAATTCAAGCTGGAATTTGGCATTGTGGAAATCAATAAACGGGCATTTGCAGTGTTTTTTTTAGTAAAGGTTAATGTGTCTCTCATGTAAACTGATAAACTGCTAATGGCAAGCTAACGGAAGCTGTTTCTTGTGTCATCAGGGATCACAGGACAGGGGGGAACAATTAATTTTCCCAAGGGGCCACATGGGACTGGAGAATCACACCAATAACTTCATAAAGAGAAAGAATTAGTTATTGATATTAAGCAGAACTGAACTCAGCCTATTTGTAGAGTTACCTTTGCAGCAATCCCAGCTTCCCATGTGACCTCTTTTAGAAATGTAATTACTGTCTTTTACATGGGGGGGGGACACTAAAACCATTCTGCTAAGCGAATGACTTCTTTACAGTTTATTATAGGATGCTGAGTGGTTGTGTCCTACTCAATTCTGGTGAAACAGGCTTACTATGTGTTTTGCCTTGAGGTATTTGTGGGATTCATCCTTTTCAGCGTGCCATACCTGTTCAATTAGTAGCTGCCTTACTAATGCATGAATGTTTGAATTTCCACTGTAGAGTCACTCGTTTTCAGCGACCCAGACTTTAAGGAAGAAGACCCAAACTTCTTGTCCCGCAGTGAGCGCTATGACCAAGCCGTTAGAAAAAGTGCCCAAATGATCCTGAAGCTCAGAGAGTATGGTATTGCTGACCCAGAGGAGATCTACCACTATAAGAGGTATGTGGTAGAGGAATCAGCTCATAAAGCCAACTGTTAAAGTAAATGGGTTTGTTATTAAAGAACAGCCTGCAAATGTTTAAATCCACTCGTTTGTGTGTAGATGCTGTTCATTTGTAAAAGTAGAAGTGGGGAGGGGGGGCTTATCACACTCAGTGCATTTCAGCGTATACTCATAAAAAGGCTTAACGAAATGTTCTTATGAAGCAAATGATGTGAGGCTCAAAGGTGAAGTATCGTGTATGTGGTGTACGTTAATGTTACTACACCCCGACTGTACTTTGACAGTAATCAAATTATCCACCCACCTTCTCTGTCAGCTCGTGTGCGTTATGCAAAGCAACGAAAACCAATGTTTGTTCCCGAACAATAATCTCAAACAGTGTCACAGACCTTACATGAACGGCCCTAATATAGTTTTCTTAATTAACCTCCTAAGACCCGAACTCTTCCACGGCATGCATTTTTAATTTCTCTTTGGTATTTGGGCTGATTGGGACCTGATGAATGTAAAAACAAAGAATTACTAAAAAAAACATTTTTTACCACATTTTTGTTTCTGAGAAAAATGAGAGCCACTTATGAGGATATTTGTTTAAAATTTCGATAGAACAGTAGCAGTATAATGTCCTTGTAAGTGGATATCAGGCCCTTGTAGAGCAAATTTGAGTATTTTGGTCTAAATAACCCAAAATGTGATGTTCACATATGTGGACGCCAGGTCCTAGGAGGTTAAGAGCCCCCCTCCCCCCTCCAAATTGAACCCAATCAAGTAGATTTTTTTTTTTTAAAACCACTCTTGGCAACTAAGTCAACAACAAAAGCAGCTGGAGCAAAGTTCGCAAAAGATTAAAATTGTGTTAGAGGGCAGCAATCTGCCACGTATCGTGTGCTTTCTTCATGAGCTGTGTGCTTTTACTTAAACTCAATTCTTCAAAGCTCTACCATGCAGTGCAGCTTTACTTCCACTGTAAACTGCACATATTCATACAAATCCTTTGAGTTGTCAAGACACATGACCAGATTTATTAACAGTCAAAAATCCCCAAATGATCTGTAGCTCGTCACTGAGTTCTCACCCTGCATGTTTAGAGCTGAGCCCCACATTCTTCTGGTCCTCATATTACTGAAGACCATTGTCATATTTTGATGAGGAACAGTGAGCAGATGGGTTTGGAGTGTTTCAGGTTGAATGTCATATTTCTGCATGGAGATTGATCCACAATGAAAAGTGCAAAGAGCACAAGAGCAACTCTGTGCCTTTTTCTCAGAGGTGCATACACACAGAGCTCTGCAACATGACACGTTACCTGTTTATTTTAATTTTTAAATGTTTTAAAATTTCCCCACTACCACATAATGCATGCTGTACTGAAATGTCTGCCAAGATACAGCTTTTAATGGGGCTTTGGCTTGCAACATTGCATAACATACAGGGAAAAATGTTTCCACTTATTAAAAATGCAGATGGGTCAGGATCTGACTGTAAGCAAAGTTCTTTGTTCATTATCTACACAATCGCTGTAATAGTTTGTCATGTATTTCACTTGAGCTGTTGGATCTGTCTAGAGATCGTACAGATTTATCTGCACACAGTCCCCAGCAATTTCTAAGAGGGTTGCCCCATTTTAAAAAAACAAAAAACAAAACCAGATTTTACCAAGTTGCTCCACTTGGTAAAATCTGGCCAAACTGGTCACAGTCATTCTTGGATTTACTTATTTAAGACCCTTAGACACAACTTCATGATGCTGTGCTAAAATGCCTCAAATTCTCATCTTTTGAGAGTTTAATCTAAGTTATATTTTGGGGAAGACGAGACTATTTTGGGGTTGTTTTATTTTAGCAAAACTGGGAACTGTTGAACAGAGTGTCTCTCACTACTTGTATGTTTGACAGATCCAAACTTCTCACTATATAGGAAATAAACTTGATGTCATAAAATAATGCAGTCATCTAACATTAGAGTTGATGGTAAATCTGAGCTTGTATTCACCCAGTATGGTCAAAGGCAACATCCCAGAGGCTATGGGAATACATTTTGGGGTGTTCCTTCCAACCATGCACAGCCAGTGTGACTCTCAGCAAAAAAAGAAATGGTTGCCTCTGACAGAGTCCTTCCAGGTGGTGGGCACATATGCCCAAACTGAGATGGGTCACGGTCAGTCTTGGATTTAGCTTTTGACACAAATTAACTTAATTTTTGTGGAGTTCCTTAGACAAAACTTAATGATTCTGTGTTGAAACGCTTCAAATTTACAATTTTTATTTTTATTTTTCCCTAAAAAAGTTTAATAAATGATCTCTAAGGCCAGGCAAAATGCCATTTTAAGCAGGATGGGAAAAGTGTTTAACACCAAGAATACCTCTGATTTCTTGTATGTGTTTGACAGATCCAAACTTGATGTATGTAGAAAACTTCCAATTGGATGTAATCAAATTATCCGTGTCTAATATGTGAGTTAACATTGTCTGAACCACACTTGTGTACACTTCCCTTTACCCAGTATGGTCAAAGGCAACAATCAGGAGCCTTTGGGACTACACTTTGTCATGTTCATCCCATTCCTGCACAGCCAATGTGACCATCACCAAAAAAAGAAATGGTTGCCTTTGGCAGAGTCCTACCGGGTGATGGGCACGTATGCCCAAACTGAGATGGGTCACGGTCAGTCCTGGACTTGGCTTTGAACTTACTGAATGTTGATTAAGGCCCTTGGACAAAACTTTATCATCCTCTGCTGATAAATGATCAGGAGTCACATTTGAGCAAAAGAATAAAACCTTTAAAACCATAACTCTAATTTCTTGTATGTGTTTGACAGAAGCAAAATATTGAGAAAATCCAAAGTAGTTGCATGTGTGTCCTTATGATTGTGTTTGCAGTTTGCATGCTTTTCTAAACAACACGCTACATGTAGATCTATCCATGCTATTAGCGTAGCTTCAGTAGAAGTTCCCATTTAGACCCTAAATATTAAACTAGTTTTATGTCATCAACACTTTCCCATAAGCAGTTTCTAAGTCTACTTCCTTCCCACTAACTCTTTCATTCCCCTTTCTATCTTGATAATGCCCCAATTATGAAGCTTGTGTATATTTTGATTGCTCCCCTGATTTGCACTCTTTTCTATGCATGATTTAACAATTAAGACTGAATAACTGATCAGAGATGGCCTGTCTTTGTTTGGCCTGTGGATTTGAAATGATGGGAACTAGAAACATGAAACTAGTTCAGTTGTCTTTTTCATGAAGTCTTTAAAGAGTAAGAGAAGCAGCATTATAAGCTGCAGAAGTTTGTGGCTCACGAGTTCATAATGAGGCCTCTGAATGTCTCTTTGTAATCTGAGAAATTAGCAAATCTATGTGAGAGAGAATGTAGGCCAAGCAGCTATTGTTTGGTGGCTTTCTGTTAAAAAGCCCGGTGGATGTTATTTTGAATTTGTTTTGTTTATTTGTTTTGTTTATTTTTTTTCACGACACACTGAATCCTTTCAATGACTGGACTGTTTAATGTTCCTTCTCCTCTTTAGCCTGCAGGACACTCGAACCATGGGTTCCAAAAATCATTAAACAATTTTTGTCCATTGTAAATGATCTCAGGACCAAAGAAAGCACTATCCTTTTATTGTTTTGTTTTTGTAACTACAAAGTCATGTTAATAATTAAATGTTCCACTTTGGCTGCCCCATCCCAACTTGATTTCCCAACATGTGACTAGTATCATATTCAAAACGAGCATATAAATAACACTACCAGTTATCTCTTTAGACTTAATTAATATACATTCTGTCAGCGTTGTAACAAGCAGGTCCAGTTTACATCTATGTATCTGTTCAACTCCCCTAAACATTTTTGGTGGCTTTGAGTTGTTGCCAACTGAGCAACCCAAACTGAGAGTAGGCTAAAGTTCAAGTCTTGGTCATCCCTGTCAGTGGTCTGGGTAAATGTGTAGATCCAACTACTAAAGACAAACTTTTGGAAAATGGCATTTATGAAGTTTGAAGTTAGATTCTCACCACATGATCAAATCAGCAATTCCAATATGCATGTCATGCTGACAAATTGTTTTAATTTGTCTTTGTCACCTCTTTCTCTGCTGCTTGTGCACATGTCTTTTATTCTTGCATCACTATTTCAATTCCTGTAAATAATTCTTCCTGCGGATACAAAACTGCATCATTATCTTCTCATTCATCTCTGCTAACGTTGTCTTAAACTCTTCATAATCATTTCCACCATCTGCGTCCCTTCTCCTCGCCCTTTCTACATTACAACCTGCTTTTTTCCCCATTTCCCACTGCCTTGCGTGGCCAAGATGTGTGCACCCTGACAGGCCAGAGCCCCTGGATCTTCATCTCGGGATGTTCCTGCCCACACTACTCAACCAGGCCACTCCAGAGCAAATGGACCGTTTCTTCATGCCCGCCTGGACCCTAAAGATCATCGGCACCTACGCTCAGACTGAGATGGGCCACGGTAAAATGAAGTCCGAAACAGAGTAGGCCAGTTAGGAACACGATGCCATTTTTAATTTTATTGTCAATATTCCCACAAACTACTGAGTCATGTTGGTTGCAATTTAAAGTAAGAAAGAACTTAGTGCTGCTTTTTTTTTATTTTATTTTATCTATTTATTTGTTTATTTTACACATGGCATTCAACACTAGTTTATTATTCAAATATGTATATTCACCAACCAAAATATGCGCTGGTGTACAAGTGGTTTATTTAAAGACACTTCAAGGAATTTAGGTAAATTTAGTCAACTAGAGAACTGCTGCAAACAAAGTAAGAGTTAAACCACTGTGCTACTTTAAGGTTAGATGATGGTAAATGCACCCAGTATATCTCTAACAGTGGAAGTGTTTTGTTTGTTAAAGAGGAAAAAAAATCTTGAAACTAATGATTCATTTACATAACATCTGTGTCCACACTTGTCCAGTGGCCCCGTTTTCCTTTCAGAACTTAAAAAAAAAAATAAAAAATGTAACCACAGAGAAACATTGAGTAGTTTCTCACTGGCTGTTCTACTCCCTGGCCACCCCTCCTGTTCCACAGTAGCTCTTCTTATCTGGTTTGTGTTTTTGTTTTGTTTTCTTGTCTTCACTAATAATCTTTACTGTACTTTAACAACATGGGCTGTTATGTCTTTAACTAAAAACCAGTAAAATCCAGCTTAAACAGCATAGAACTGAATCATCTTAAAATTGTGATTGAAAATTAAGATCTGTCAAACACCTACAAGCTTCTCTCGGAGAGAAGTGGATTCAGCTATTTTACTTAAGTAAATTTATACTGGATACTCTTTAAGTCTCAAGGGCCAAATGTGCTGTCAATTTATTATAAGTTTAAACTTAGATTTTTTTCTATCTCTGATGCTAAAGTTGTGTTCTGTAAATGTAATTTTTAGTCTAGGCATGTTTGTTAACAGTAGTAGTAGTTTTGCATAAAAATCATCAGATCGACTGCTAATGTCTAACCAGCATTGTGATGCACTACTTTTGCTTTTTAACTGTGTTCTCTGCATGTGTGTCTGGTGGCCTTTTGACATATTGAATCACTCCAGGCACACACCTTAGAGGGCTGGAGACCACAGCCACATATGATCCAGCCACTCAAGAGTTTGTCTTGAACAGTCCCACTGTGAGCTCCATCAAGTGGTGGCCCGGAGGACGTAAGTGTTTTGACTCCGTTAGGTCTGGGGTTTCATCATGAATAGCGTTTGTGGGGTTTTCTTGTTTTGCTTTTAACCATTTCACCCTCTCTTTCTAGTTGGGAAAACCTCCAACCATGCCATAGTGTTAGCACAGCTTTACACTCTTGGAAACTGCCATGGTCTGCATGCTTTCATCGTACCCATCAGAGATATGAACACACATTTACCCCTGCCAGGTAACCACAGTCTGTGATGACTTTCTGAATGTGATATTTGTAAAGTAAGTCCTCATCATCTTTTCTGTCCATCTCACTTTTTCTCTTACTACCTTTGTTTGTCTTTCTCTCTCAGGTATTGTTGTTGGCGACATTGGCCCCAAGTTTGGCTTCAATGAGGTTGACAACGGCTTCCTGAAATTGGAGAACGTACGAATTCCACGGGAGAACATGCTGATGAAATACGCCAAGGTGAAATGAAAGTTTGTCTTTTTAACAGCAGTGATTCGCCATGAGTGGATTAATTTACCTCAGCTCTTTGTTTGTGATCTTTGGGAAGGGAATTGCTGATCTTGAAATTATACCCCGTTACTGCAGTAATGCAGTTATTGGTCATGTTTCAACCATTGTTTGTCCGTTTGCTCCTTGCAGATTATTTTATAATCAAGCGCCAATCTGTGCTAACAGTGGTGGTTTAACTGATGAGTGTCAGAAATTGTCCTCATTGGGATTACATTTGCAAATGCCTTGCAAGAATTACTCAAAAAATACTTATTGAATTTGGTAATATACATTGACACTTGGTGTTGTTGGTGGTTATATGGATACAGAATAAATACATTTCAAGTGGGGCTTCAATATGACTCTGTCCACCAGGTGGAGCCAGATGGAACCTATGTGAAACCACCAAGTACTAAGCTGACCTACGGCACCATGGTGTTCATCCGCTCCATGATTGTCGCCGAGTCAGCTCGAGCCCTTGCAAAGTCCTCCACCATTGCCATCCGCTACAGTGCCGTGCGTCACCAGTCTGAAATACGGCCAGGGTCAGTGGACAGTTGATTGCTGTCAATGCAAACATTTGCACAAACATCTCGTGACTCAAAAGTAGTGAGTAAAAACAAATTTGTAGTTGAGCTGAAATAAATCAAGTGAACAGGCTGAACGTTACACTAGTACTTTAAAGTACTTCACTCTACTAGTGGTTCCTAGTTTGCCCGAATATCAGCATAAAGGAAAAATGAATCCCAGCGGTATGTGATGTGAAGTA